GGACCGTAGGTTGCCGACCCCTGCCTTAGATATTTGTGGCTTTCCCCCCCATACCTATTATAATCACTGAATTATTATTGAATTATAAGAGGAAGACCACATTTCTTGACTTGTAGCACTTTTAAAACTTTTTAAAACAACACTTTATAAAACAACATTGGAAGTCTCCACTCTCATAGGCAGATATTATAACAAAAGGGACGAATGACCAAATGTAACTCAAGTGTGCTTTTGTAGTTCCCTGTTTCACTATAACAGATGTGCAGGTTCCAACTTTTTTCTTGTTAACAGTTAGCATGTTTGTGACATCCCAATAGTTCAGTCAGTGGAAGACAATCTGATAGACTCCAAGAAATAGGGAAAATATATATCAGTGAATTATAAAACTCTGCTATTGTGGAAATGTACTGAATTAAACTTATGTTGCATTACAAAGTTTTAACACAGACAGAAGCAGTTTTTAAAAAATCACTTTTTTTTAGAAATACAAAAATCTGAATTTAGGAAAGGGAGCTTTGTAACTAACCAAGGCTCTATGTAGCTTAGTTTAAGTATCCCTATGAAATTCCACAGGCCATCTAATAGCACAGGACTCAGATTCACAAAGTGTTTCATTCTTGAGTCTTGCAAGAACAGTTTGTTTAAAACATCTTTTTTATTAATGGATTAGAATAATAACAGGAAAACCTGGTTAGTGAAAAATAAGAAAAAATAAGATGCAAATCTTTGAAATGGAAATGGAAATGACAACATTCTTATGGAATTACTGCAAATAATCTTCACCAATATAGGAGTCAAGACTTGGTAAAGATCTACACTTTGGTGTTAATTTCATTTTAAATTGGCACATGTTTTGCAGCATTATTCATATTTCTTTTTCCATTGTTCACTTTGTCAGGACTGTTTGAAATATGCAACAATGCCATCAAACTTTTGGAGGGGTGATACACTCAAATTCATGTAACCCTCTCAATATGTACTGCATACAGTACAAAAATTATATTGTTTAGTTTAACAAAATGTATACCAGGTTGGGTAGCATATAACCACCCTGATATTTCCTGATATAGGATGAACTATACATATTTTAATAAATAATAAATACATTCTAGACAAAAGTAATCAACAGGAAGTGATCCCACAGAAAATATTTAGAGGTACCTATAGCAGTTTCCTGTACATTCATTGTTGTTGTTGTTGTTGTTGTGTGCTTTCAAATCATTTACGACTTAAGGTGACCCTAAGACAAATCTATCACAGGATTTTCTTGGCAAGATTTGTTCAGAGGGTTTTGCCTTTGCCTCCCTCTGAGGCTGATAAAGTGTGACTTGCCCAAGGTTAACCAGTGGGTTTCCATGGCTGATCAGGGATTCAAACCTTGTTTTCCAGAGTGCTAATCCAATGCTCAAACCACTACACCATGCTGGCTCTATCAAATATATAGGTTTGCAAAATATGCAATGGCAACAAAGCAATTTAGGAGGCCACTATGGAAACAAGGCTGTAAAAGGGCTCATTTTGGCACACAGACATTTCTTAAAATTTACTAATGGATTGGCTATATCACACATTTCCCCTAAAACTATTACCAGGTAAGTGTGCAGGAAGAAACTGGCAAAACCACCTCTGAGTATTCCTTGCCTAAGAAAACCCTATGAAAAATTCATGCCGTTATCTTAAATCGACTGGTGACTCGAAGGCACATATACACACAGACTTGCGTGTGGCTTTGCACTCTGAGTTTATTTAAAATAATTAAATGTGCTTCAGTACCAAATCAATAAATATTGGACACATGCTTCCTACATCCAGATTATTTGTCTCTGTCCGTTAAGTGAAAAATGTGCCTATAGGCACCAGACAAAATGGTGGGGATTCTTTCCCTTTAAATGTCAATAATGTGTGCATGCTTGCTTGTTTTAAATAAATGCATTCAATCTCACTGTAATAGGGTAATCTTGGATTTAGAACACATTCAAAATAATATGATTAAGATAATGAAACAAATCAACAAATGGAGCACAAAAAATAAAGATACTATAAAATAATACAAAAATAAATACCATAAAGAGGTAGACCAAGATTCTATATACTTTTAACACAGCATAAATATATGCCAGGAGAGCTAGCATGGTGTAGTGGTTTGCGTGTTTGACTATGACTCTGGAGACCAGGTTTCAAATCCTTGCTCACCAAAGGAAGCCACATTGTTGTTGTAATTAATCAGCATCAGAAGAACATATACCAGCCTGGTATACATGTTGTCAAACTAAATAATAATACAGTTTTTTGTACTGTATGCAATACATATTCAGAGGGTAACCCTTTGAACAAATCTTGTACAGAAACTCAGTGAGAGGCCTTAAGATTGCCATAAACTGGAAATGACTTGAAGATACCCAACAATGAACTATATGCCACCATAGTCGTTATGCTGGATCCCACAACTGTGAAAACAACTGCACAAGTGCCAAAGCCATTGCGCTCAGTTCACTCTCTACCTACTAAGTCAGAAGTGGGAGACTGGGTGAACTCTTTGTATATACTTACAGAATGATTGGCTGAACCAGGAACCACACTTTGGGGATGTACAGACCAGCCAAAAGGGCTGGCCTGGGGGTGGAGTGGGGGCATGGCATCCGCATTCCAGCTGCCCCGATGCCGCTGTCACGCCGCCCACCCAGACATATGGGGGTGACATCAGGGTGCTCCCCTGGCGAGCATTTATACATGGTTTTTACACTAGCCTAGTGCCTCAATATGGGCCTGTTAGCCTAAGGGTATCAGATCCTGCCCAGTTTTGGAAGCTAAGCAAGGTCAACCCTGGTTAGTACTTGGATGGAAGACCAGGTGTTGTAGGCTGTATTTCAGAGGAAGCAAGTGGCAAAACCACCTCTGAGTATTCCTTGCCTAAGAAAACCCTATGAAATTCATGAAGTTGACTTGACTTGAAGGCACACAGGTACACAGTGCCTTAACAGGATTCTGGCCATAACCTAAAAACAATTTTTTGAAATGCTCATACTCAGTACAAATATTAGTTACACCAAAAAATAGCATAAACATCACAAAAATTGCTCACAACTGTTGGACTATAATTAAAGTACAAATGTTTGGAATAACAAGCATGTCTGATACATATAAATAGCTATGTTATTGTTGTTGTTGTTAACAGCCCTCGAGTCAGGCCCAACTCATAGCAACCCTCTGGATGACACATCTCCTATAGCCCCTCATCTTCCACTGCTCTACTCTCTTCCTGTACATTCATGCCCATTACATCCCTGATTGAGTCTTCATCTGGCTACCTCTCTTTCTACTGTCCTCCACCTTTCCAAGCATTAATGTCTTTTTGATTGAGTCATGCCTTTCCATGATGTGGCCAAAACACAGCAGCCTCAGTTTTGTCCTCTTGGCTTCAAGGGGGAGTTCTGGTTTGATCTGTTCAAGGACATATTTGTTTGTCTTTCTGGCAGTCCATGGTATCCTCATCACATCTGAAATGAGGTGATTCTTTTTCTATCTGTTTTCCTCACTGTGCAGCTATCACACTCATACATGGTGATGGGGAATACTATAGGTTGGATGACTGTGACTTTACTCTTTAGGGTCTTCTCTAGTTCTTTGATTGCTGCATTCCTTGCCTGACCCCTTTGCCAACTGGGAACCAGTCTGTTTCACCAAATTCTGTTCTAACAGTAGCCTCTTGTCTTAAGTTCAGATTTCTTATCAGGACTATCAAATGTAGTGGCACCCCCATGTCTTTTAAAGCCATCCATAGCTTTTCATGATGTATGCAGTCAAAGCTTTGCTATAGTGTGTCATGTTGACACCAGATGGACTTCCTTGGGGACAGCTTTCCACAAAGGTGGGGCTACCACAGAAAAGGTCCATTCCCAAACTACTTCTCTCCTAATTTATCTTAGAGGGGACAACATAGAGAAGGCCCTCTGCTGTAAGTCTCATGGACAGTGTAGAGGTAAAACTAGTACACTGAATCTGGCTAGGACACAAAATGGCAACCAATGCCAATAATGGTGTGTGTGTGTGTGTGTGTGTACATATAAATGCATACATATACATATACTCACACACACACATTTGTGTGCATATACATCCTTCCATGCCAATAATAAGAACAGGCCTAAATCCAATTGCTAGTCACAACTAAGGTAGATCCATCGATCCAGATGGAAATTACAAAAGTCTTGTCCATCATTCAACAGCTAATCCAATAGATCTACCCTGGTTGTGACTAGCAATTGGATTTAGGCCTGTTCTCATTATAGGCATGGAAGGATGTGGTGAATATAAATGTAGAGAAACCTTAAGGGATATTAGAGGGAAGAGGACCCACACAGCAGAAAGTAACTGCAGAAAGCTGGAGAAAAAACTCCATCAAGTACTACTAATTCAAATCTGAGATGGAAAATGTGATTTAGCTGCCAAGAAACATCCAAACTTCCCACAGAGCCTGCTGTGCCCACTCAAGCTGCCAATAATAGGATGCTGGAAACTGTGATACATCAGGCTTCTGTTCAGTGTCTAACTAAAATCAGTGACAACGAACAGGCCACCAACAAATCAATGCTGTACTACATCCAGAGCTAGATAAAATCTTGATGGTTTTCATATATGCATAAATTGCATTGCTGTTTCCATCAAGAGAGTGCAGTGCTGGTAAGATAAGAAGAACTGGGGCATTCAAAGTAATCTAATTGTCTTTCCAAGCCTGTCACAACTAGGAATAGTAAACATGTTTTATGGGACAAGCAATACAGAATAAGGATGTCATCAACTGAACCAACTCCCTTCTGGTATACCCACCCCAGTTTCACTTGACATCTCTTAGCTGAATTTAGGGTTGTGAGAGAATTTAATTTTAATACAAACCAATGCAATCAGTGCTTGAAATTATGTGAAATTGCTAATATGCTAGTGTTTGTTGTTTTTTATTGTTAATTGCCCTCAACTTGACCCCAACTCATGGCAACCTCATGGATGAGACACCTCCAAGACCCGCTATCCCTCACTGCTCTCCTCAGGTCCTGCAGGCTCAAGCCATGGCCTCTCTGATTGAGTCCAACCATCTTGCATGTGGTCTTCCTCTTTCTACTACCCTTTACCTTTCCTAGCATTATTTTCTTTCCTCGTGATTCATGCCTTCTCATAATCTAGCCAAAGTACGGCAGCCTTAATTTAGTCAGGGGGGGTTCGGGCTTGATCTGTTCTAGAACCCATTTGTTTGGCTTCTTGGTTGTCCACAGTATTCTCAGCACTCTTCTCCAATACCACATCTCAAATGAATGAATTTTCTTTCTGTCAGCTTTCTTCACTGCCCAGCTCTCATATTCGTACCTGGTGATGTGGAACAAAATGGCTTGGATAATCCTCATTTTAATCTTAATGTTAGTTATTAACATATTTGTATAATGTGTTCGTTAATTCTCTTCTCCCCCCCCCAAAAAAAACTTTTAAAAAATAAAAAATATGGCCAAATCTTTCCTCCCACTTTCCAAAACCTCCAAAGTGATCAAATATCATTTGGGAAATAAGAGCAAGACTGGGCAACATCCCAAGGTGATGAGGCGCATTACTCTCACAGAACCTACTAGGAGCTACATCACTGTCATAGCTACCACAATTCAGTGCAACTGTGGCAGTTTTCTATGGCATCCTCCCACACTGTAGTCCTGCCAATTTGCAAGGCACTGCATCTCATTCCAGAAAGACAGATTTCAGTATTGTGGCTACTATGGTGAAAACAGCAAGTGGGGAGAGGGGAGATTACTAAAATGGTCTTGGTTGGCCACAGGCATTTTGCATATTCCCTACCCTATGGTGTTAATACCAATAGTACTGGTATTGGATTCAGATTGTGTGAAACATATAGTGTAATTCAAGCATACATGAGGTAGACTCATCCATAGAAACTGGGTGTAGTAAAGGATCAAGCTAGGAACACCTAGAAATTCCTAAGACTGTACATTCCAATGAATACCTTCAGACTTTTGAAAAAGACATTCAAATCTGACATTTTCAGAATGCTTAATTCAGTGTCCAATATTAATTCAACAATGCTGAAGTTCAGTTATGAAAGTGTAGAATACAAACAGCATTCAGTCCAAACAAAATGGAAATTGACCCGATGAGTGCAAGTGGGCTTTAGACTTCTATTTAAAGATAGCAAGTCTCCAATGTCATGATGCAGGAAATTGAGGGTAGTTTTAAGATCAATTTAGTATATAGTAATCAAGATTAGCAGCTGGAAGAAAAAAAATTATAATTCCATCAGTTGACTGCAAAATCTATGCAGGTCCTTTGACCCTTGAGAATATGATAAAAAATATTTAGGCTTATCCTTTTTCCTGAAACTGAAAATCAACAGGGAATGCTGACAGGAATCACTAACCAAGGTAGTGTCGCCCAGATCTAATCTACTGTCTCAGTGATATCAACCGAATAACTTGCTTGGCTGATCCATCAAAGATTCACTGACAACCAGGATTCTGTGTACAACAAGCACCAGGGAGAGGCCTCCAGAAGCTCCGAGGAAAGGCACAAAAGTGACAGGTAATCCACTGTTCCTTATGCCATGACTGGGTTCTCAGAGGTATATTACCTGTCTACAATTTGTGGTCAACGACATACCTATTGACATGCATCTGAAAAAGTAGGCTCAAGTCTATGAAAGCTCATGCTACCAACTTCTATCTTTTAGTTAGTCTAAAAGGTACTGCAAGATCCTTTTGCATACTGATTTTCCAGAATAATATGGCTATGTCTTTGAATACTTATACTATGCATTCTGCAGTAACATTACAAGACACCTTTGTGGATCAGTGGGGGGGGGGGGGGGGGGGGGGAAACCAGCCCTGCCAGTGGTTTGTCCCTTGGGTCAGTTGCAAGAATTTGGGCTAAAGCCCAGAAATTTGGACTAGTTAGCAAAAGCTCTGGAGTAAAGCTGGATTTTCTTTTCTTTTGTGAAGATCAGCATTTTCACTATGCATAATAAATCACCAGATTGCTCTTAGTGCTCCATTTCATGCACTACCACACATGTGAGATTGTCAAGTGCCATATCTGTGGTGTCTCTTCATCTTTCAGCACAGAAACAGATGACCTACAAAAATCTGGCTCATTGAACATTAAAATAAAGAGGAAGTGATGGCAGCAGGGCAATGGAAACTCCCA